GCACTGATAACCCCGGTCCGTAGTCAGCCCCCTCATGGCATGGGGGTATGCCTACTGCTAAACCATCTTGAAGCAAGTTGAGATGAGGTCCATGTATCGTGGAGAAGAATTCCCACTTCCAGATCCTTCCTTCTATGGGCAAAAACTTCTCTCCTACTTCATCAACATGTGTTTGTTTATTGCCTTCTTCCATAGCCCTCATTTTATAGAGTTGCACTAAATTCCGCAGTCTGATACATCCTGAATGTAAAAACAAGACAAAGACCTCTGAACACATTTTGCAATCCATGGGACGTATACCCAGAAGGCAAAAATAAGTTTAATCTTGCCTGTCTTTTCTGGGCTCCCCTCCAACCATGATAGGAAAATTGCTCAGGAAAACCAGGACAAGATGAACTCAAATGTAGTCCATAGTTAAAGCAATCCAGTAAGGTTTTGTAAGGTAGCATTTTTCACTAACAGACCGTGTATACTATTAGGTCATATTTTAAATGTAGATCTTTATTATCTTATATGAAGATAAAATAAAGCCCCCTGTAGATTGGTTTGCACTGAGAGAGTTTCGTTTATTGATTTAAAGACACAGTAAATACAGCATCCTCCCGTGAAAACACAAAGAAAAACAAAAAACACAAAAGATAATCACATATTGGTTAAACGTAGTGATCATATCTCACTCATAAAAGTTTAACGTGAAAGTAAAAGTTATTATTACAAGGCTGGAGTCACAAATACCACAGGGCATAAAGTTGTTTATAACATACCTTCAAGAATATTTTATCTACTTCGTACATAGATCAATAGTTTAATAATAGATACAGTGAATAATAATAAGACACTAAGTAACGAGTGTATAGTAAAAGCTATGAAACTAAATAAAGGAGAGATTATGTATTCCAGGTAGCCATGTATGCTAAATCTAAAATGTGTAACAAATATACTATGTATTCAAAATACATGGAACGTTAATGTAACTGCTGTGTAAATACACTGAACAAAATTATAAACGCAACACTTGTTTTTGCCCCATTTTTCATGAGCTGAACTCAAAGATATAAGACTTTTTCTATGTACACAAAAGGCCTAATATTGTTCACAAATCTGCACTTCTCCTTTGCCGAGATAATCCATCCATCTCACAGGTGCGGCATATTCAGATGCTGATTAGACAGCATGATTATTGCACAGGTGTGCCTTAGGCTGGCCACAATTTGTTCCGTGTACATAGAGATAGATGTCAGATATAATAGTACAGCTAAATTGGACAGATTTCTCTACTCCAAATGCAGTCAGAAAACTAGCATCAAATAATATGCCCTATAGCAGTGGTTCCCAAACCAGTCGTCATGGCCCACCAACAGTCCATGTTTTGTCAGTATCTTCATTCGGATAAAAAAGGGAAATTCATAATTGCTGGACTGTTGGTGGACCCTGGGGATCCAATGCTCTAAAACACAAATTCCAAAAAGACTGATGTTAAATAGACTGATATTACAGCTGTAGAGAAAAATGGCAACGAGCTTTACAAACTGTGCCAAAAAAAAGGATGTAATTTAGATTTGAGGAATTTACTATTCAGAGACACTTATTATAGAGTTTACATCCAAGAGTGCGATTTGAGATATAAATGTAAGTTTAAGAAATGGGAAATAAGTTCATTATGATAAAAAGAGAGCAGAACAATTGAACTGTTACAAGTGGATAGTACGGCTTAGTAATTGATAAACCACCTTAAGAAAAAAGGTTCAAGGACCACTGGCTTTTAATAGAAATAACTGCAAAGTGGAAATCAATTAGCCAAACCATGATATAGAGACTTCATGGATATTGGTAAACAGGGACACGAAAAAAGCAGAGTTATGTATGGATATAAAGGCAATCGCTACGGAATCTGATGGCGCTATATAAATAATAAAATAAAATAATAATAATAGATATAAAAACATTATATTTCTATCTGAAACTATATCACTATACCGTTCCTGATGCCACAACATAGACTGTTAATTAGAAAGAAACCCTACATCTATCCTAGATAATAGTAGATCTCACTCACAAATGCAGTGCTAGCCATTGAATGGCTCCAATAAATTGTGACCAGGAACCAAGTATTTAATAACTCATATGGACAGAGCCAATAATTTAGCAGGCTGTTAAAAGTAGGACAGTGTTAATAGACTAGCATGGATCCGATGTGTGTTTCGCCCCCATTAAAGGTTGGGCCTTGTCTGGGATACTTAGCAGAATGTCAGTGTGGAGACCAGTAAATTAGTGCAAATTTAAAGGGGTGATGGCCATTACAAATTACCCTAAATTACAATATAATTTGTCAGAAGAGTGATTGGCAACATTAGCACACAATGCATCTCATTGACATATTCAGCTCAAATGATACTACTGGACGGAGCCACAAAGGGGAGGGTAAACCATATGTCACATCTAAAACAAACTGACCTTCAGGTATTAGAGAACTGCGTGTTACTTTAACTATAAGTAGAGTTTTCAAATTAATATTATTACTTGAAGGAGAAATGTTGGAATAATGTTATAATAGATCTCCATGGAAAGTCGAAATAACTTTGCAACTATAACATTTCTATGAATTTTGACTGAAATTTATTTTATCAATTTACTTTTATTTAGTTTATTAGTTTAAGTTTATTTTACATTTGTATGCCCATACCTAGCAATCCAGAGGAAGGTAAAAAAATAAAAAAATAATAATAATAATTTTGTACACAAGAAATATTGTGTCCTGGCCCTAGAGAGTCATGCCCCACCTTTGATAACTCGCTTTTATACGTTTTTTATTTATTTATCCCCGAACCTGTCTTTTCCTAACCCAGCTTGAACAGGGAAACACTTGAATGCATCACTCTATGGGCTGTAAACATGTTTGGGGAAAATGGAAAATGATGCACTAAGATTCACATCTGTACAAGGATGCACATTCCACAAACACCTACCTCCCCTCCCCCCTCCTGTTCCTTACAATACTTACCTTCTAATTAACTAAACACTCTCAGTGCAAACCAATCTACAGGGGGCTTTATTTTATCTTCATATAAGATAATAAAGATCTACATTTAAAATATGACCAAATAGAATACATGGTCTGTTAGTGAAAAATGCTACCTTACAAAACCTTACTGAATTGCTTTAACTATGGACCTTCTCTGTGACTGAGTGGAATTTAAGAGAAAGCGGCATTATTTTATCTAATCAAGGACTGCCATCATTTTAGTTCAGAATTCCAGCTCTCCTGTTCCCCCCAGCAAGTAACACACAGGCAGATTACTCCTCTCTGTACTAATTCACTAAGTAGTGTAGAGAGGGGTAATCTGTTTCTACATTACTATATGACTGGCTGCATATGTGCCTGCCTACTACTTTCCTGTCAGCCCATGGACAGCTCTCTCTGTACAGAGCATAGCTGTGCATTGCTCTAGGCAAACAAAGTAAAAACAGATTCTTATAATTTGCGTCCATCCTCTATGGACTCCTGAGGTAGCAAAGGGCCCTGGGCACCTGCCACTTATGCCCTGCATTAAAGACGGTTCAAGAAAACCATTTGGGCGTTGAAACAGGCCAGTGTTATGCAAAAATAAATATGCACTTCATGGATTAAGAGTTACTGTGGCAGGGTCATCTATTTTGGGATATTTTTTTTGTAAACAAAAGGACTCACACCACTGATTTCCTGGTTGGGGCATACTGATTATATAGCTGTACAGTTGCTTTTTACATGCTAGAGCCAAATAAACAATATCAGAACCTCAAAAAGAGATATTCAGATCAGTAAATAATTCCGTGCATGATATACAAGCAATACTTTACACATCTGTAAGCTGTAACATGTATAAAAAATCTAATGCTGTCCTAATTCTTCTCCCCAGAAACCGCACTCTCTCGCTACAGTGTGTAATGAATGCTGCCGCCAGGCTGATCATTCTCTCCTGCTGCTCCTCTCACACCTCGCCCCTCTGTCAATCCTTACATTGGCTTCCTGTACCCTATAGGAGTAAGTTCAAAATACTAACCCTTCCTATAAAGCTCTAAACAACTCTAGCCCCCGTTACATTTCTTCACTAATTTGAAGGTACGCCTCTTCTCAGTCTCTCTGCTCTACCGGTGATCTTCTCCTGACTGTTGCTTGCACCCATAATCCTAACTGGTGTTTGCAGGACTTGACTGGGGGTCAAGAAGGAATTTTTTTCCTAGCTTGTTGCAAAATTGTGCTTCAAACTGTTTTTTTTTGCCTTCTTTTGGATCAACAGCAAAAAACAAATGTGAGGAAGGCTGAACTTGATGGACGCAAGTCTCTTTTCAGCTATGCAACTATGTAACTATATGACTTCTGACGGGTGGCCCTGTTCCTTTGGAACAGTGTGCCTACCCCACCAGACTCTCCTTTAGTCGTCAATCATTTAAAAAGTCCCTCAAATCCAACCTTTTCAGAAATGCTTATGGCCTCCCAGAGTAACTTCTATTTCACAAACCTGTCTCTTTCGTTCTATTAAAGGGTCACACTTTACTGTCACCTTCCAATTCTTCTACTTTTCCACCTTGTTGTTTAGTTACTGTCGCCTCCAGTGCCCTTCTTGTTGTGTTTTTATAACCCCACCTCCTATAGACTATAAGCTTGTCTGAGCAGGGTCCTCATCAACCTATTGTTCCTTTAACATTTTGTAATTGTCTCATTTATTGTTAAATAAATATAATATTGTAAAGAGCTGCGGACTAAGTGGGCACTATATAAATGCCAATGACAATTATAATAATGATAACTGCACTGTCCATGATGCTTTGTCATTCTAAACGCTTGTAGCTCTACAACATCTGGGGGTCTACTATTTGCCCACACTATCACATAGCCTCTTGCCTGCTGGAATCTCCTTTGAAAACCGATCCTTGTAATTTTCTCTTGTTAGGTAGAGTTTCAGTAAATAGAACACACCCATTAAGGAGTAGCTGGATACTGTTAAAACACTGGAAGAAAGTGTTGAGACAGACATTGCTTGTGTGTGATCAAAGGTGAGTGATTTTTCAATTCCTACTCTTATTATATTGATTTATTTGCATTTGGCAAACCAGTTTTTTATTTGATCTTTGTTTAATCTTTGCCTACTGTATCCAATTCTACTGTATTGTATTGATCCCTATAAAAAAATAATAAGAATACTTTTTATAACAATAAAATGGCAATATATTTGGCAACGCTGTAACTAAAATGGCAATATATTTGGCAACGCTGTAACTGATGGTTGTAAATATGAATGCTGATATATTGCCATTCAGGGCAAACTAAAAAAAGACATAACAGATTCCTTCCAAATATCCCTCTCTCTCGACCTGTGCAACTATCATCCTGACACTTACCTACCTTGGCCATAACCAAATCAGTTTTGTTGAGGAAAATATAGACCATAGCTCAGTGAAATTGTCATTGCGCTCTTATTTGTTCTATGAATCCTTGCTGTCGTTATATGTTCAATAATTGACTGTAATTGTTCTTTAATCTAACTTGATTTATCTTCTAAATATTAAAACTAGCTATATTGCAATTTAATTACTGTTATCAAAATGTTATTTTCAATTCTATAATTTGATATTCTATGTAAAGTGTTCTACATAAAAGCAAAATATGTGAATTATACAAATAAAATATGAAGATGGACAGAAGACAGACAGATTAAGATAGATTAACCCATACACTCAACTTTTTATCTATAAAGGCATGAATATTCCACAAACACCCCCTCTAACAATACTTACCTGAATGTAGTATTTTTTCGTTACAGGAAAACAAGGGGTAATAAAATCCCCCCAGGTTTCATTAATAAACATCTGGATCTTACTTGAGAGTAACAGGAAATTTCTGAATTTTAGAATCTCAGTTTAGAGTTAATCTAAAGAAAAACAACTAACGCAAAAATATATTTTTATGATAAATGACAATCTAGTTATTTAATATTCCGTATAGTTTCATATTAAGTTAATTTAGCTTAAGGTTTAATTCTAAGTAACAATATCTGGTTATTTGCAATAAATAGGACAGGCGCTGTATGAAATCAGAAATGTGTTTTGCATTTTTTTAGGAAAGATTTAAAAACAGTTAATTGTGTAATTCCTGTCTGACCCCTGTGGATTTCCTTGAGTGTAATCCATCGCATGTCTTGCAGTAGTTCTATGTTGTTGTACAAGTATATGGAGCGCTTTACTGCCCTTTGATGTAGCTACTAATGATTTCAGCATGGCCATAAAATGTATGCGCGTTATTTAAGTTATTTTTAGTTTTTATTTAAAAAAATTTCCACCTGAAAAACATATATACAACTGGCAAGGGGAAGGCATATTTCGATTTACTTTATTAACCCATTCGTTTTTAGAGGGCTTTCTCTGCAGTAATTATTAAAACAATGTGGATAGTTTGTTATGTGTTTGACCATTCTTAAAGGACCACTATAATGCCAGGAAAACATACTCGTTTTCCTGGCACTATAGTGCCCTGAGGGTGCTCCCACTCTCCGTCCTCCTCCCGCCCGGCTCTGGGGAAAGGAAAGGGGTTAAAACTTACCTTTTTCCAGCGCCGGGCGGGGAGCTCTCCGCCTCCGATCCTCCTCCTCTCCTCCTATTCGGCTGAATGCGCATGCGGCGGAAAGAGCTGCGCGCGCATTCAGCCGGTCTCATAGGAAAGCATTTACAATGCTTTCCTATGGACGCTTGCGTGTTCTCACTGTGATTTTCACAGTGAGAATCACGCTAGCGCCTCTAGCGGCTGTCAATGAGACAGCCACTAGAGGCTTTGAGGGCTGGATTAACCCATTTATATAAAAGTGTGAGCTGCTGCAGACCCCACACCATCACATCAATCTCAGCCAGCAGCACCCCATGCAAGCCACCCTCCCACAGACAAAAGTTATGCTCACAGGTTGGCTGCAAATATAAAAACTGCTATGTTTATTAAAAAAAAGGGTTAATCCTAGAGGGACCTGGCACCCAGACCACTTCATTAAGCTGAAGTGGTCTGGGTGCCTAGAGTGGTCCTTTAAGGAGTTACTAAAACCCTTTCTCTGACAGTAATTTCTTAGTTTATAATGCTTTACTGGCTTCACTGGGGCCCACATGTACTTAGAGCCACCCGATGGGTATTGCTGAATAAGGGCCTTGTCAAGTGCTGCGACCCTTTAAGAGCGCGACCGGGAGGAAGTAAGAGCCGGTCACTTCCTCCCAGGTATAGAGAGCACCGCACCGGAGGGAAGCAAGATGGAGACAAGCAAAGAGTGAGCTGCTGCAGACACCACACCATCACATCACATCAATCTCAGCCAGCAGCACCCCATGCAAGCCACCCTCCCACAGACAAAAGTTATGCTCACAGGTTGGCTGCAAATATAAAAATGATAACATGTATGTGTGTCAGTGTGTGTTTATGTCAGTTTATGTACCTATGTGTGTATGTGTATCTATGTGTGTATGTATATCTGTGTGTCAAGGTGTATGTATGTATCAGGGTTTCTATCTGAGTGTGTATGTGCCAGTGTGTGTATCTGTAAGAGTGTGTATCTGTCTGTCTATCTTTGTGTGTGCATGTGAATGTGTGTGTATGTATCAGTGTGTTTATATGTGTGTATCTGTGTGTTAATTTGTATGTATGTGGCAGTGTACATGCATACATCTCAGCAATCAAACCAGCACAACATGCAAACACACCCCTGCAATCAAACATAACCAGTACATAAAAACACACCCCTGTATTCAATCTCCAAAATTATATACAAACACACTCCTTTATCAAACACCAATGCTACCCAGAAAGGTACATCATTTAAAAGACAAACAAGTGTTACAAACAAACACACCCCTGCAATCAAACACAAACAATACATACAAACACACTCCTGTATTGAAATGCAGAAATGATATACAAACACCAAGACTACACACAAAAGCACACCTGCACTTAAAAGCCAACACTATATACAAACACATCCCTGCATTCAAATGCAAATACTACACATCAATACACCACTGCATCTCAATTACAACAGTACACCTCAACATACACACATACGCTATACAAAAACTTCCATTCAAACGCACAAATACTGCTTACAAATACAGAGCCTTCAGTTGTGATGGTGTGGCTTTTAAAATCACATGTTTTACTGTTTAAAAAAGATAAGAAAGTCAAAACATTTTCTAAAAGTAAATTTCAATTTCCCGGTTGCTGAAGGGATGAAAACCCCTTCAGTAACTTACCTGAGGCAGCGACGATGTCCCTCGTCGCTGCTTCTCCCTCCGCGCCGCTCCTCCTTCTGACTGCGTCGGTTGGTAGGCGAGACCGATCCCGCCCACCGTAAGAAAGCATTGAAAACGCATTGAAAATACTTTCCTATGGGGAAATGAGCGATGCTGGAGGTCCTCACACAGCGTGAGGACGTCCAGCGACGCTCTAGCACAGGTTTCCTGTGCTAGGAACCAGGAAGTGCCCTCTAGTGGCTGTCTAGTAGACAACCTCTAGTGGCTTTCTAGTAGACAGCCACTAGAGGTGGAGTTAACCCTGCAAGGTAATTATTGCAGTTTATTAAAAAAAACTGCAATAATTACACTTGCAGGGTTAAGAGTAGTGGGAGTTGGCACCCAAACCACTCCAATGGGCAGAAGTGGTCTGGGTGCCTGGAGTATCCCTTTAACTGATTCTTATAGCACATATCATGGACTTATTTATGGACAACACAGTCAAGAAGTTCTGAAAATAGAAATTGTTCTATTGGTGGTAGTTCTGAGATGGATACATAATCAAAGCTCCATCTAATTTATTCCAATATTAACTGCTCTCAAATTATGTTCTTTTATTCCAGATTCAAAGTAAGTTCCATATTGTTCCCCTGAATGAAGATGTGGAAACTTTGCTTGTGGATCGAATGGCTTTTCTTGACTCCACTGCTGACAATCACATCTAAGACACATGCTCAAGCACTTAGGCAGACGAGAGTACCATACATAAAAGATAAACCGTTTATTTCCTTTTGGAATGCACCTACAGCGCAGTGTAAACTGAGATACAAAGTTGATCTGGACCTCAGTGTTTTTGACATTGTTGCAAACACCAATGAAACTTTGAGTGGTTCTAATGTCACAATATTCTATCACACTCACCTTGGGTATTACCCGTACATCACCGATGATGGACACTCTTTTAATGGTGGTGTGCCACAAAATGAGAGCCTCAAAAAGCACCTGAAGCAAGCTGAGCTTGATATTGAAAAACTCATACCATGCAAAAAATTTACTGGTCTAGGGGTAATCGACTGGGAGAACTGGAGACCTCAATGGGATAGAAACTGGGGAAATAAAACCGTCTACAGAAATAAATCCATCGAACTCGTCAAGGCTCAACATCCTGACTGGTCTCATGTCAAGCTCAGTCAAGTAGCCAAAAAGGAATTTGACCAAGCTGCGGAGAATTTTATGACTGAGACGATTATTAAAGCACAGAATGTGAGGCCCCATGGACTCTGGGGATACTATCTATTTCCTGATTGTTACAACTATGACTACAAGACGCATCCTCATGCATTCACAGGCAAATGTCCAGATATTGAACTGAAACGTAATGATTTGCTGTTGTGGATGTGGAAGAGTGTCAATGCCCTGTACCCTTCTATATATCTTGACTATGTTTTGAAATCAAGCCCAAATGCTCTTAAATTTGTTCACCATCGTGTAAAAGAGGCAATGAGAGTGGCTTCAATGGCAAGAAAAGACTACGATTTGCCAGTTTTTGTGTACTCCAGGCCTTTTTACGCATACACTTTCCATGTTTTGACAGAGGTAAGTTAAATTATACGCTAAAAAAGCCATGCTAATTATAGTCAAATTGTTAATAATGTTTCATTCATCGTAGGATTATTTAGGTAGTATAACATGCAGCACCTTTCAGAGGTGCATGTTTCAGCCTGGGGCACACAGTAAAGGTTGGGACTATGTGCGCATGGTTGTATACATCACTGTGTGTGTTTGTGTGCAATTTATGCATCTTGTTGATAGGTCATTCATTGTGGATATGGGTTCTAGACTAATCTACTGATTTTCCTACTGTCAGCAATACAAGTTTTAGGTGTTTTTTTTACTTTTGTAATTAATATCTTGACTGTGCTTCTTTCTTCATACTGTTCTCTGTGAGCTTCAACATAGTGTCTATTAGCATTTCAGTCCTTTTTTTCTGTCTCTATTACTTGATTTTTCTGGGAAAGACAATCAATTGGAGATTACCAAGCTAAAGCCTCATTGGGACTAGGCCCACTTGTATCCATTACATTCTGCGTAGCTTTCAATTTCTTCTTCATTCATTGATGATAGTGGCCACCAGTCCATAAATACATTATGCTCATAAGGCCTTTTACTCAAATATGGGGTTTTTACTTTCCTAATGTTTACTTTCGGAATTAGGCTTCAGGCGTGTTTAGATTGCTAACTTCTCAATCTGATTCTGCCTGTCTTAGCTTAGCTATCCCTTTAGGCTTGAAAGTACAATTTAGAGGGCTATTGCTGTTTAATGGGTGGATGAGTTGTGTTTCTGTTTCTAACAGTCTGTGTCGTGGACCTCTATCTATCACAATGTCACTGTTACTATACAGTTATTTGATTTAAAAATGAAGGGCTATCATACCTCAACAAGACTTTCTGACAATTTCATATCCAGATATACAAGCAATCACTTGAATGAATATATATACAGTGAGGGGAAAAAAAGTATTTGATCCCCTGCTGATATTGAATGTTTGTCCACTGACGAAGAAATGATCAGTCTATAATTTTAATGGTAGGTGTATTTTAACAGTGAGAGACAGAATAACCAAAAAAAATAAAAAATGTCAAAATAGTTACAAATTGATTTGCATGTCAATGAGTGAAATAAGTATTTGACCCCTTTGACTTAGTACTTGGTGGCAAATCACAGAGGTCAGATGTTTCTTGTAGTTGGCCACCAGGTTTGCACATATCTCAGGAGGGATTTTGTCCCACTCTTTTATGCAGATCATCTCCAAGTCATTAAGGTTTCAAGGATGATGTTTGGCAACTCGAACCTTGAGCTCCCTCCACAGATTTTCTACGGGATTAAGGTCTGGTGACTGGATAGGCCACTCCAGGACCTTAATGTGCTTCTTCTTGAGCCTTGGCTGTGTGTTTTGGGTCATGCTAGAATACCCATCTACAAACCATTTTTAATGCCCTGGCTGATGTTCTCACCCAAGATTTTGACGGTACATGGCCCCATCCATCGTCCCTTTGATGGGGTGCAGTTGACCTGTCCTCTTAGCAGAAACCCCAACCCCCCCAAAGCATTATTTTTCCACCTCCATGTTTGACGGTGGGGATGGTGTTCTTGGGGTCAGAGGCAGCATTCCTCCTCCTCCATACATGGCAAGTTGAGTTAATGCCAAAGAGCTCGATTTTGGTCTCATCTGACCACAACACTTTCACCCAGTTCGCTTTTGAATCATTTAGATGTTCATTGGCAAACTTCAGACGGGCCTGTACATGTGCTTTCTTGAGCAGGGGGACCTTCTGGGAGCTGCAGGATTACAGTCCTTCACATCATAGTGTGTGACCAATTGTTTTCTTGGTGACTATGGTCCCAGCTGCCTTAAGATCATTAACAAGATCCTCCCGTGTAGTTCTGGGCTGATTCCTCACCATTCTCATGATCATTGAAACTCCACAAGGTGAGATCTTACAAATGTGTTTCTTCCATTTGCAAATAATCACACCAACTGTTGTCACCTTCTAACCAAGCTGCTTGGCAATGGTCTTGTAGACCATTCCAGCCTTGTGTAGGTCTACAATTGTGTCCCTGACATCCTTGGACAGCTCTTTGATCTTGGCCATGGTGGAGAGTTTGGAATCTGATTGATTGCTTCTGTGGACAGGTGTCTTTTTCTACCAGTAACAAGCTGAGATTAGGAACACTCCCTTTAAGATGGTTCTCCTCAGCTCATTACCTGTATAAAACTGAGAGCCAGAAATCTTACTGATTGATAGGGGATCAAATACTTATTTCACTCATTGACATGCAAATTACTTTTTTGACAAGCGTTTTTCTGGATTTTTTTAATGTTATTCTGTCTCTCACTGTTAAAATACACCTACCATTAAAATTATAGACTGATCATTTCGTTGTCAGTGGACAAACATTCAAAATCAGCAGGAGATCAGATACTTTCTTCTCTCACTGTATGAGTGTGTTTTTCCCAGAGTTACAAACTTGCACTATCCTAGTTTTTAGGATTGATCTATTTTATGATAAGAGTCCCTCCAGATGATTTACCACAAATGTAAAGTAAAGATTAATTTAATTCCTGTACGTATTTTTTATTTTGTGTCTTCAGGCTGACCTAGTTAAAACAATCGGGGAGAGTGCTGCGTTAGGGGCAGCAGGAATCGTGCTGTGGGGAGGGATGGATTACGCCAGTACGAAGGTAAATATAGAATTTTCGTTCCATGCTGTGTTTCGGTTTAAACTGTATGTCATGCAACTATGTGGTTTCACTATAGAGTATAATTCTTACATGGGTATTCACTATAGTAAAAATTGTTGCGAATTCAAAATGATTCTCAAATTTAAAGCTAAAATAGCCACCATGGAGCTTACTTGACTTGAAGATTTTTTCTAATTCGGTTACTTTGACCTTAAATTTGGAATTCACTTTGAATTCTCACTTTGGAGCATAACCTAATTAATTAATTAAAGTGAATTCAAAGTAAATTCAGATTTGAAGGGAAACAATTGTGCCAAGAAAACAAAGTTGTTTTCTTAGCATTACAGCTCACTATAGTGCTATATACTAGCTCCCTATTAGACCTCTATGCCATTGGACCACCCCCGGGTTAGCCCCCCCATATTGAGAATTTTAACAAAAGATTATTCCATTTGTTAGATCTTTGTTAGATCAGGTTTGATCAACAATTTTTTTCGTTAGATCTACTCTAAAATATGCGATATTAACAATCATTGTCAGGGGGGGCTAACCCGTAGCCAGCCCCCCCTCAACAAAAATTTGGAGAAAATGTTGTTGATTATGATAGCTCTACGTTAGATCAGGTTTGATCAGGCAAAATTTTTGTTTGATCTAGTCTAATTACTGAGATATTGCATATATAATTAGGGGGGGCTGGCCCCCCCTCAACTGAAATTTGGACAAAATGTTACTGATTTTGGTAGCTATTCGTTAGATCAGGTTTGATCAACTGTTTTTTTCGTTAGATCTATCACGCAAGAGGCGGTATTCACTACTTAACTTTGTGGGCGTGACTACGGGTTAGCCCCCCCTCAAGTGAAATTTGAATTTTTTTTTATTGATTTTGGTAGCTATTCGTTAGATCAGGTTTGATCAACTGTTTTTTTCGTTAGATCTATCACGCAAGAGGCGGTATTCACTACTTAACTTTGTGGGCGTGACTACGGGTTAGCCCCCCCTCAAGTGAAATTTGAATTTTTTTTTATTGATTTTGGTAGCTATTCGTTAGATCAGGTTTGATCAACTGTTTTTTTCGTTAGATCTATCACGCAAGAGGCGGTATTCACTACTTAACTTTGTGGGCGTGACTACGGGTTAGCCCCCCCTCAAGTGAAATTTGAATTTTTTTTTATTGATTTTGGTAGATATTCGTTAGATCAGGTTTGATCAACTGTTTTTTTCGTTAGATCTATCACGCAAGAGGCGGTATTCACTACTTAACTTTGTGGGCGTGACTACGGGTTAGCCCCCCCTCAAGTGAAATTTGAATTGTTTTTTATTGATTTTGGTAGCTATTCGTTAGTTCAGGTTTGATCAACTGTTTTTTTTCGTTAGATCTATCACGCAAGAGGCGGTATTCACTACTTAACTTTGTGGGCGTGACTACGGGTTAGCCCCCCCTCAAGTGAAATTTGAATTTTTTTTATTGATTTTGGTAGATATTCGTTAGGTCAGGTTTGATCAACTGTTTTTTTCGTTAGATCTATCACGCAAGAGGCGGTATTCACTACTTAACTTTGTGGGCGTGACTACGGGTTAGCCCCTCCTCAATTGAAATTTAATTTTTTTTTATTGATTTTGGAAGCTATTCGTTAGGTCAGGTTTGATCAACTGTTTTTTTCGTTAGATCTATCACGCAAGAGGCGGTATTCACTACTTAATTTTGTGGGCGTGACTACGGGTTAGCCCCCCCTCAAGTGAAATTTGAATTTTTTTTATTGATTTTGGTAGATATTCGTTAGATCAGGTTTGATCAACTGTTTTTTTCGTTAGATCTATCACGCAAGAGGCGGTATTTAGCCCCCCCTCATGTGAAATTTGAATTTTTTTTCATTGATTTTGGTAGCTATTTGTTAGATTAAGTAAGATCAACTGTTTTTTTTCCGTAAGATCTATCACGCAAAAGGCGGTATTCACAATCTTATTTTAATTTTGCACATAAATACCAGTACATTTTCATATCAAGCCACAGGTGACATCATAATTTAGGAATTTGCTTGGATTTGCTAACACAATGTGTAGATCATTTTCAATATTTTTTTTTATTCTCTACATGCACAGTATTGAGGTGATAAAGTCCAGCATATGCCCAGCCTGAACTTATTAGTGATATTTGAATACAGTTGCAAGAAAAAGTATGTGAGCCCTTTGGAATGATATGGATTTCTGCACAAATTGGTCATAAAATGTGATCTGATCATCATCTAAGTCACAACAATAGACAATCAGTCTGCTTAAACTAATAACACACAAATAATGAAATGTTGCCATGTTTTTATTGAACACACCATGTAAACATTCACAGTGCAGGTGGAAAAGTATGTGAACCCCTAGACTAATGACATCTCCAAGAGCTAATTGGAGTGAGATGTCAGCCAACTGGAGTCCAATCAATGAGATGAGATTGGAGGTGTTGGTTACAGCTGCCCTGCCCTATAAAAAACACACACCAGTTCTGGGTTTGCTTTTCACAAGAAGCATTGCCTGATGTGAATGATGCTTCGCACAAAAGAGCTCTCAGAAGAACTACGATTAAGAACTGTTGACTTGCATTAAGCTGGAAAGGGTTATAAAAGTATCTCCAAAAGCCTTGCTGTTCATCAGTCCACGGTAAGACAAATTGTCTATAAATGGAGAAAGTTCAGCACTGCTGCTACTCTCCCTAGGAGTGGCCGTCCTGTAAAGATGACTGCAAGAGCACAGCGCAGACTGCTCAATGAGGTGAAGAAGAATCCTAGAGTGTCAGCTAAAGACTTACAAAAGTCACTGTCAAATGCTAACATCCCTGTTAGCGAATCTACAATACGTAAAACACTAAACAAGAATGGATTTCATGGGAGGATACCACAGAGGAAGCCACTGCTGTCCAAACAAAACATTGCTGCACGTTTACAGTTTGCACAAGAGCACCTGGATGTTCCACAGCAGTACTGGCAAAATATTCTGTGGACAGATGAAACCAAAGTTGAGTTGTTTGGAAGAAACACACAACACTATATGTGGAGAAAAAGAGGCACAGCACACCAACATCAAAACCTCATCCCAACTGTGAAGTATGGTGGTGGGGGCATCATGGTTTGGGGCTGCTTTGCTGCGTCAGGGCCTGGACGATTGCTATCATTGAAGGAAAAATGAATTCCCAAATTCCCAAGACATTTTGCAAGAGAACTTAAGGCCATCTGTCTACCAGCTGAAGCTCAACAGAAGATGGGTGTTGCAACAGGACAATGACCCAAAGCATAAAAGTAAATCAACAACAGAATGGCTTAAACAGAAGAAAATACACCTTCTGAAGTGGCCCAGTCAGAGTCCTGACCTCAACCCGATTGAGATGCTGTGGCATGACCTCAAGAAAGCGATTCACACCAGACATCCCAAGAATATTGCTGAACTGAAACAGTTCTGTAAGAGGAATGGTCAAGAATTACTCCTGACCTGGGCAGCTGTAACCAACACCTCCAATCTCATCTCATTGATTGGACTCCAGTTGGCTGACATCTCACTCCAATTAGCTCTTGGAGATGTCATTAGTCTAGGGGTTCACATACTTTTTCCACCTGCACTGTGAATGTTTACATGGTGTGTTCAATAAAAACATGGCAACATTTCATTCTTTGTGTGTTATTAGTTTAAGCAGACTGATTGTCTATTGTTGTGACTTAGATGATGATCAGATCACATTTTATGACCAATTTGTGCAGAAATCCATATCATTCCAAAGGGCTCACATACTTTTTCTTGCAACTGTATTCAAATATCACTAATAAGTTCAGGCTGGGCATATGCTGGACTTTATCACCTCAATACTGTGCATGTAGAGAAAAAAAAAAAAATATTGAAAATGATCTACACATTGTGTTAGCAAATCCAAGCAAATTCTTAAATTATGATGTCACCTGTGGCTTGATATGAAAATTTACTGGTATTTATGTGCAAAATTAAAATAAGATTGTGAATACCGCCTTTTGCGTGATAGATCTTACGGAAAAAAACAGTTGATCTTACTTAATCTAACAAATAGCTACCAAAATCAATGAAAAAAAATTCAAATTTCACTTGAGGGGGGGCTAACCCGTAGTCACGCCCACAAAGTTAAGTAGTAAATACCGCCTCTTGCGTGATAGATCTATCGAAAAAAACAGTTGATCAAACCTGATCTAACGAATATCTACCAAAATCAATAAAAAAAAATTCAAATTTCACTTGAGGGGGGGGGCAAACCCATAGTCACGCCCACAAAGTTAAGTAGTGAATACCGCCTCTTGCGTGATAGATCTAACGAAAAAAACAGTTGATCAAACCTGATCTAACGAATATCTACCAAAATCAATGAAAAAATATTCAAATTTCACTTGAGAGGGGGCTAACCCGTAGTCACGCCCACAAAGTTAGGTAGTGAATACCGCCTCTTGCGTGATAGATCTAATGAAAAAAACAGTTGTTCAAACCTGTTCTAATGAATATCTACCAAAATCAATAAAAAAAAAAAATCTAATTTCACTTGAGGGGGGGCTAACCCGTAGTCACGCCCACAAAGTTAAGTAGTGAATACTGCCTCTTGCGTGATAGATCTAACGAAAAAAACAGTTGATCAAACCTGATCTAATGAATATCTACCAAAATCAATAAAAAAAAATTCAAATTTCACTTGAGGGGGGGCTAACCCGTAGTCACGCCCACAAAGTTAAGTAGTGAATACCGCCTCTTGCGTGATAGATCTAACGAAAAAAACAGTTGATCAAACCTGATCTAACGAATAGCTACCAAAATCAATAAAAAATAAATAAATTTCACTTGAGGAGGGGCTAACCCGTAGTCACGCCCACAAAGTTAGGTAGTGAATACCGCCTCTTGCGTGATAGATCTAACGAAAAAAACAGTTGATCAAACCTGATCTAACGAATAGCTACCAAAATCAATAAAAAAAAATTAAAATTTCACTTGAGGGGGGGCTAACCCGTAGTCACGCGCACAAAGTTAAGTAGGGAATACCGCCTCTTGCGTGATAGATCTAACGAAAAAAACAGTTGATCAAACCTGATCTAATGAATAGCTACCAAAATCAATGAAAAAATATTCAAATTTCACTTGAGGGGGGGCTAACCCGTAGTCACGCCCACAAAGTTAAGTAGTGAATACCGCCTCTTGCGTGATAGATCTAACGAACAAAAACAGTTGATCAAACCTGATCTAACGAATAGCTACCAAAATCAATAAAAAAAAATTCAAATTTCACTTGAGGGGGGGCTAACCCGTAGTCACGCCCACAAAGTTAAGTAGTGAATACCGCCTCTTGCGTGATAGATCTAACGAAAAAAACAGTTGATCAAACCTGATCTAACGAATAGCTACCAAAATCAATAAAAAAAATTCAAATTTCACTTGAGGGGGGCTAACCCGTAGTCACGCCCACAAAGTTAAGTAGTGAATACCGCCTCTTGCGTGATAGATCTAACGAAAAAAACAGTTGATCAAACCTGATCTAACGAATAGCTACCAAAATCAATAAAAAAAAATTCAAATTTCACTTGAGGGGGGGCTAACCCGTAGTCACGCCCACAAAGTTAAGTAGTGAATACCGCCTCTTGCGTGATAGATCTAACGAAAAAAACAGTTGATCAAACCTGATCTAACGAATATCTACCAAAATCAATAAAAAAAAATTCAAATTTCACTTGAGGGGGGGCTAACCCGTAGTCACGCCCACAAAGTTAAGTAGTGAATACCGCCTCTTGCGTGATAGATCTAACGAAAAAAACAGTTGATCAAACCTGATCTAACGAATAGCTACCAAAATCAATAAAAAAAAATTCAAATTTCACTTGAGGGGGGGCTAACCCGTAGTCACGCCCACAAAGTTAAGTAGTGAATACCGCCTCTTGCGTGATAGATCTAACGAAAAAAACAGTTGATCAAACCTGATCTAACGAATAGCTACCAAAATCAGTAACATTTTGTCCAAATTTCAGTTGAGGGGGGGCCAGCCCCCCCTAATTATATATGCAATATCTCAGTAATTAGACTAGATCAAACAAAAATTTTGCCTGATCAAACCTGATCTAACGTAGAGCTATCATAATCAACAACATTTTCTCCAAATTTTTGTTGAGGGGGGGCTGGCTACGGGTTAGCCCCCCCTGACAATGATTGTTAATATCGCATATTTTAGAGTAGATCTAACGAAAAAAATTGTTGATCAAACCTGATCTAACAAAGATCTAACAAATGGAGTAATCTTTTGTTAAAATTCTGAATATGGGGGGGCTAACCCGGGGGTGGTTGCCATTGGTAAAGTTGGAAGAAGAAGCATTTGGGGTAGTGAATGTACTGTATGTCATTCACTCATATACCCTGAGTTAATATCCCCTCACATGGCAATGCAAGCTTCAAGTAAGAGATCTATACATTTGCCTACAATTTTGCTAACACAATGCAGCTATTAAATTGTAATGACTAGCTGAAACACTTCTTATCATCAACATATCTCCCCAAAACATGCTAATTCCAAAAGCAGCAGGAACCATGCATTAATGCTCTACCTCCAGGCACTCACATGTGTTCTGCAGATGTTCTCTTTCATGGGACAGAGTCCTTGTTGAGACCCCTCATGACCTGTGTCTCACGGGGTGGTTATTGATACTAGCTAAGTGTCGTTATCTAACATGATCAAGTGGAGGGCTAAATTCCTTAAAGAAAGCTTAGAAGGTTCCATTAGAAGATATCAATTCTGTTGCATCACATAACTTGTTCAATAAGCTTTCCACAAATGATAAGGGATGCGTGGACTTTCAGCAGCTACATATGGTCTGCATTTGGAAGACAATGCTGTATGGACTTTCATGGGCTCCATCTGGTCTACAGTAGGATAACAATGTTGCAACAGTAGCAATAAAATCCATTCTGTAACTGCACATCATTGCTAAAGATTCCTACAGATCCTTTCATTTGCTAAAGAAGCTTATTATTAAAAAGGTTTTTTTTAATACGTAAGCCTAATGTAAAATAATGGTCACTGCAGTTAAGATAGGTTAATAAAAGGTTAAAGTGAATATGAATTAATTACTATTGGCATTTCTGAACCTTTTAACCAGGAGATGATAATAAAACTAATTTCAAAAGACATTTTAAATTTGCAACACTATCGTTATGTTTAACCATTTATTCACTAACCATGGGCTTACAATGAACTGAAAACCATTCTGCAATTTTGAATCGAAATAGCTGCTTGGGAAAAGAAAATGTGCAATTTAGCACAAATGTTTTACATTTTGGCTTAGATTTTGAAATTCATTTTTCAATCCGCCCAAAATCACTATTTAGTAAATAACCCTCCTGCTATTATTATAACGGCCATGCTTAATGTTTCGTAAATGTATTCTGATAAATTTGTTTTGATTTGCATAGCTTATTCTTACATTAAAGGGACACTATAGTCACCTGAACAACTTTAGCTTAATGAAGCAGTTTTGGTGTATAGAACATGCCCCTGTAGCCTCACTGCTCAATCCTCTGCCATTTAGGAGTTAAATCCCTTTGTTTATGAACCCTAGTCACACCTCCCTGCATGTGACTTGCACAGCCTTCCATAAACACTTCCTGTAAAGAGAGCCCTATTTAGGCTTTCTTTATTGCAAGTTCTGTTTAATTAGGATTTTCTTATCCCCTGCTATGTTAATAGCTTGCTAGACCCTGCAAGAGCCTCCTGTATGTGATTAAAGTTCAATTTAGAGATTGAGATACAATTATTTAAGGTAAATTACATCTGTTTGAAAGTGAAACCAGTTTTTTTTTCATGCAGGCTCTGTCAATCATAGCCAGGGGAGGTGTGGCCAGGGCTGCATAAACAGAAACAAAGTGATTTAACTCCTAAATGACAGTGAATTGAGCAGTGAAATTGCAGGGGAATGATCTATACACTAAAACTGCTTTATTTAGCTAAAGTAATTTAGTTGACTATAGTGTTACTTTAATCTTTATAAAATGTGTGATGTCAAATTATAACACATGCATTCCATCCACTGTTCCATCTGAACGCTATGAATTTCTCTCTTTGAGTGCCTGATGGAAGCATGTGTTCTAACTTTGCCTATGCTGTCTGGGAGTAATAAACCATTAATTTATGTTACACAACACACTTTTCATATTCCATAGACAGAGGTCTGTGCATTCTGACAAACTTGAGTTGATAAATGAGTTTCCAACTTAGATGAATTGTAAATTTTATAGGCTATTTATTACAGCCCAAACTCTGTGTAGCAATGAGTGTGGTGGTTTCTGCTGTCTTTTAATTTAGACAATAGACATGAGGGGCTCGCAGGTAATATTGGGCATTGTCACAATACTTTGTACCAAGTTACATTTATTACCATAAAACTGTTATTCTATAAGGCATAGTGCAGTGATGGCTTTCCTCCAGATGGTTCAAAATTGCATTTATCGTATTGGCTGGCTGGTCATCTTGGGGGCGGGGGGAATTCTCAAAAACATCTGGGGCACCTAGGTTAATTGTCATTAGTTAAAGGGATCAAGTAATATTGCCTTTAAAATAAAATTACAATACTATGATATTGTTCACACAAACATGTTGTTTCTTCCTTTCAGGAAAGCTGTAATACTGTAAAGAAATACGTGGATGGACCCCTGGGCCACTACATTGTTAATGTGACTTCAGCAGCCAAACTTTGTAGTAAAGTTTTATGCAAAATGAATGGGAGGTGTATCAGGAAGCACGTTCATTCAACGTCCTACTTACATTTAAACCCTAATAACTACGAGATCAAGAAACGTTCTCAAGGTCGGGGACATTCTGTTACGGGGAGCCTGGGAGAGGAAGACATTTTGTACATGAAGCAGAAGTTTGTGTGTCAGTGTTATGAAGGTTGGATTGGAATATCCTGCGAACTCCCAAAATCTGGAAAACTAAATTGGAAAAGAAACGATTTTACAAGTGGGTCAGGAAAGATAGCTGCCTTGAATATTGTGTTCTACGCAGTATTTCAAATTAGTATTTTATTACAAATCAATGCTTGAGATTTAGAAACAAGGCACAAGTAATCCTCGTAACTATTTGACAGGTCATGTATTAACGATTGCAATGGGATGTGCAGAAATTATCTTCTCTTCTCTTCTTATAAAGGATTAATAGGTGGGATTGTACCTCTAGGTCGACAAAAACAGTGAGAGAGTAATTGTGTGATTCTGCCATTATGGTTAAATGTGACAAAAGAGGTCAAATTGAAGCATTATCATCAAAATGTTGATGGGTTATTTTTATTTCTAAATGCATAAAACCCACTATAACTAGAATCTAGGCACTGGACTGTTTTTTCACATAATAAAGAGTGACTAAAGTGACTTGGATTTTCATAAAACATTGAAAAATGCACCGAGAAACAGTTGTCCATCCTCAAACTCAACTTACAAATACAGAGCAATCCATGTACATTATTTGTATCAAGAAAAGATATGGACTTTTGACAAGGCCAGATTTCCCATACGACAGACTTGTCATTGGCAGAAAGCACTATTTTTGGTATTGCAATGTAGTCAACATGTTCCCAACTGGCCAGCCGGCCTGAAAGACTTCTTAGAAAGAATACATATGTGGAATATTTCTATTTTATGTGAAATAATGTAGGACCAATATAAACTACTGTCTGTTGACCTGTTCTTCAACATGTATGATGGTCATCCTGAAAAGTCATTTATTGAGACTAGGAGAACATAAGATTTCTCCTTCAGTATGGAAGGGATATTTACAGTAAGTACAATAAAGATATATGGCATTTGTTGCTCAAAACACTTGCTATATCAAATTTAAAGGAGGACTCCAAAATCCATATCAGTGGAGGTGGTCTGCGGGGTCTGTGAGGCTGCACCCTGGCAGTTTGATTGGTGATGCTTGAGGTTTGCAGCTCTCGGGTTACTGATCACTGTAAAAGCTCCTCCTGATCTGGGATTTTTAGGGAGCACTTAAAGGGATCTGCACCACCTGAGTTGCAGACACAAGCTCCCTCACCTTAATGAGAGGGCTATTCTGGGAGATCTTTCGAGCTTACTCAAAGCTCATCCACAGTCAATGCCTAATTCACATGCGGTAATGCAGGCCATGATGTGTCCTCTGGAACCATTGTGCTCTTGCCGACTGTCTAGGTTTCCCTAATGGACAGGATCGCCCTTATTAGAAAGGTGAGTAGAGACATAGCCACATACCTTACTGTTAAGTGAAAATATGTTTACATTTAGTAGTATGAGACTTTTTTAGTTCAACATATTTTAACACATTTCCTCTGTATAAGACAATTAATGTCATTCAGAATGGATAATGTGCTTCAGATTCTTGAAAATACGGATCATAAATATGTAGAAAAATGAATATTGTCAGTGTACGCATTGGCAAGCTTTAACTATGTTGGGGAATGTTTCCAAACCAGTTATTTTAGGATACATTTTGCAAACTGGGTTTTTGTATAACCACAGCACCTGTGAAATGCTATTTTTTTACAATTTTGTTAGCAGGTAAGTGAAAGCGGTTTTAGTTTTAATGACTGTCTTTTGACCTGGGTTAGCACACATTTATTTATACCACAAATCTGAATTTCCAATACAGAAATTAACCTCGTCTGGAATGTAGCAATTAAAAGGTTCTTGTAATATTCAAAAGCTTGTTTTAGAATCAAAAGTTAAATATCCCTAACACAAACTAATATAATTAAAAGTTAACTATCCCTAATGCAAACTAATGTATATTTATTGGTCACATGACCCCTAAATTTCTACTAATAAGAAATATGCCAATTGCAATTCTGGCATTTTCATTCATCAATATAAATGCGTAAATAATATGTATTCAGTGAATGACATCCATTGCACAGCTTCCACTCACCCACAAGGGGTTATTCATTGAGATGGTTTAAGAGAATGTAATGCGTGATCAGCACCAGCATTATATAAAGGGAACTGCGAGATCCAGACAGCTGCACATATTTACAATCAGCAACTCTCAGATGAAATTACATTTTTTAAAGCTTGCGTTTGTCAACTTTTATATGAGAAGGAGTCTGATTGATTTGTAGCTTGTTACATATGCAATATTGTATATTCAATTTAATAAATACATTGTATTTTGTGTTCCAATAGGTTGTGGTTCTTGACTGACCTCTGGTGGATATAAAAGTATATGCATCCTGCTATTGCCAGAGAGGCAATATAATTGCTAGGGAGTTTTGTGAGTGAACTGGTGAATTAGACTGTTGAGATTATTCACTAAGGAGAAAATTATGAAAAGTTGTAAATGGGAAATGCGAAATCCATTTCTAAATAAACTGGCAAAATTATCCAGTTCAGTTATTTGTCCTGTTAGATAGTTACCTTTATATGTCCATTGTCCATAATACCTGGTTAAGAAATGAAACAGCAAAATGTTATTCTCTTTAAAGAGTAAAGAAATATATTGTGATGGGTGAACTGGTCAACCAGCTGCACCAACAGCTAATTGGCTGAAAGATAAAATAAATTAAAGGGTTCTCCCACACAGGGCTGCCATCAGAAATTGTGGAACCCCTTACATAGCTCAAGGCCTGGGATCCCAGCTTTAATTTTTTTTTTTTAAATGATAATATTTATTCCCCCCCCTCTCTGCCCCTTACCTGTGGCAAGGGAAAGGAGATACTGGATTCTGACACGTGCCAGGCATACATTACATGCCGCGTGGAGTGTTATCATGGCAACACGTGGCAACGCTTCACAGCCGCGGCTCAAGAGAGGACAGTGTTGGAGGGGGAGCTTAGTGTGTCCTGGGCCCCCTCTTTGAATACAGCAGGGTCCTCAGAACCATATGTATAGCAATACTTGATATATATATATAAATATATCCACATGAAATTGGGGAAGGGGATATAATAACCGGGCACACAGTGGATTACAAGCGGAGAGGCGAGGAGGCTGGGCTCCCCAGGAGAGCAAGGCCCATGACAACCGTCATGGTTGTCACCCCCAGATGGCGACACTGCTCCCACATACCTTATAACATGGGAGTCCAGTGCTAAGGACCCACTACGTTATGAAATATGAAGTACTATGAGGGTCTATATAGCGAGTAGGTAGGCTGGAATTTTTACTTTTTCTCATTCCTTCCATTTCTCAGGACAGGAAGCATCTCCCTTGCTCTTACCCACATGAAATGGTGAAGAGTTACAATTTATTTAATCAGTGGGGTCCAGCAGATACCTGGGTGAGAAACAAGGTAAGCTGCCTCAGTGAGCCCCACTATTTCCTAAAGTATGTTGGTGCTGGATTAAGTAATAAAATGTGGTGGTCCCATGTATCCTCTATCAGTCAGCTGCTGGAGCTCTTATGTACAACATCATGTGCTGCTGTTTCTGGATTGCAGCCCATCCACTCCTTAACCAAATATATGTGCTTCATCAATGACCAGTTGACTTGGTATGAATCGTTCCCACTTACTTCTGTGTCTGAATTCTCCTTACAGACTTGGAGGTTTATTCTGGATCTAATCTTTCGGACTTGCCATTTGACTGAATTAGGCTGACTAGGTGTTTGGCAAAATATCTGGATTTTGAGAGGACACATACCTGAATTAAGTAATAAGCAAACTGTGCAAGGCCAAACATGTTGGGGAAGCCTGTGGTACCATCTATATTAATATCATGGTTTAAAATTACCATTTGCCCACTAACCACTGACAAATGAAAAGCCAACGTTGGTGAGTAGAAATTCACTCCTGTTGAGTGTAGCAAGGACATTCACAGCTTGCCATGGCAAGTAACTTTTAGGGCTCGCTAGTAGTGTGAAACTTGACATTTTGGGCCCTGTTTATATATTTAATTGTATTGATTTTTTATTGCTCTACCTGGTTTCCCTTATTGTTTACTTTTTCTCACTTGATCTGTTAAACACATGGGGGAGATCCTCTTATCAATGTACTGAAATATACAGTTGTAATGAAAATAATTTAATATTATGTATATACAGGTGTAATCAAAATTATTCAACCCGCATTGAAAATCAGGTTTATTGTCAAACTTTACAGACTTTCAATGAACAAACCAAACAAAAACAATTGAAATAGCTCAACACGATTAATGCTTCAAGTGGTTCCCCAAATTCTACGGACGGAACTTGCAACTTATGAATAGAATCCCTCACAACAACACAAATATGCAAAACAGGTGTTGTCTCAAGAACATCTGATGCTACTAATCAAGGGCTCTTGGTGCAGCAGAGAGATTGCTGTAAATGATCACTAGCCCCCAATGCTCCCCAGTGGAAATGATGGTTATAATGGGCCTAATTACAGTCTTATAGACAGGAAAAACAAAACCAGCTATATCTTCCAAGGGCATTGTATCATGTGGAGGTGGTCCTGGAGGGACACTTAAAAGCGATCATCTCCTCTCTCTTACTAATTGCAAACTTTGAATCCTCTCTCCTCGGGTCTCAATTGCCCACCACTTTCTTTCCCTTCTTACTAGGCAGAAGCTTGCTCCTGATAAGCAGCATGGGACAGAGAAAGAGGCGGATGTAGTGAGAGGACATGACATACTGGTACATGATGACATGTAGATGTTGTCCTGTTAGAGAGGAGATAGAAGCAACAAGTATGGACCTTTGCATAGCGTGCAAAATGAACATTAGAACCATTGTATAGCCCGACAATCCACCAAGGATTTGTTCCCCTGCAACCCTCCTAAGTTCCCGTTCTCCTTTACCTCTGAACAATGTTTTTTTTAGCAGGTGTAGGCAACCTTTATCCCTCCTGATGTCATGAACTACATTTTCCCTGATGTCATGAACTACATCTCCCCTGATGTTTTTGCCAACATTATGGGATATGTAGTCCAAAACATCTGGAGTGCTGAAGATTGCCTACTTCTGGATGGACTAGAGGAGCAAGATAAATCTCACATCCCATGTGGAATTGAAGCAATTCTTTGGTGAAGTACTCCAGAACGATAAGCATTCAGCACAAATGGAGTGGCTTAAAAGAGCCTGTACAGGACACTGGATTGCATACTTATTTTGTAGCAGAATTTTATATATGAGCTATTTATGCTTATACAAGTAAGTTTATAAGTAGCCCACGAGAAAACATGTAGTGTGGCGGAGACTAAGCAAAAAAAGAGAATGTGAGAATTCTGAAAAGGGCAAAAGTTCAGTAGCTTCCTATTTGGTTAGTCTCCACTCAGGTCTGAATTGGGTGGATCGCTATAGCATCAGATATTTTATCAAGGCCTCATTGTTCATTTCATTTCATTAAGTTATATGCAATAAATCTAATTATTTTATGGTATTTAGGTTTTCCACGCTATCCTTACTTCTATTTTTATCGCAGCAATTGCAACATGAGAAGATCGATGTTTCATTGAGAAGAACCCAACTAACTGAGATTGATACCCAAGGTGTATCAACATTTTATGTTTGTGAGTTAAATCCATTAAACATCTTATTATTGGTTCTTAAATTCCTTGAATTGTAATACACTGTTGTGAATCTATTTTATTTAATGTTGGCTGTATTCTTATATTTAAAGAGGCAATAGGCAGAGTACAGGGCAGTTTTTAGAATACAATTATCTGTTACAATGTCTCTCTCTCTCTACAATGTGGAAGTGCTGTTTACCAAGATTCCGTGTGATTAGAAGGTGTGGAACATATTGGCCTATTCTCAGATGTTTACAGGTGTAGTTGAGGTGCAGCAATAGCTATGTGTTTAACCTGTACCTATAAAAAATATTATAAAGTGTTTAAGAGATTTAACACAATGAATAATGTGTACAGATTGAAAGAAGACCAATGGGTTACTGATAATATCCCTGTTCTATAATACATGATTAAATGAACATGGAACTGGAAAGGAAAATATAACCCATGAAGCCCAACTTACCATTATCTTTGCATCATTGTTGCTTTTTACAATGCAGAGAAATACATGTCCCTCCAGGAATATATTGTAATCATCTACATTTTAAAAAAAATAATTCTTTATTTTTGTTGCGCTTAAGCATAATGGAGGTTGTAAAATATACACTGAGAAGATTGCAATATAATGCTTTGTCAAGGTAAGAAAGTGTATAAACATGTCAGTGAATTTTTAAATTGTAGATAACGAAAAGATTGGGACAGCAAATGATCAAGCGAAATGCACTAAGTTGGGTCAGTAAAGAGTTAGTGAAAAGGAACAAGAAAAATAACGATTGATTTATCAAGATAGCTCCCATGAGAGGCAACCTTGAGGGTAAAATGAGAAAATATATATAGTATATATATATTATATAGTATATATATGAGTGCTGTGTTTGTGGGGGTGCTGTGTGTGTGGGGATGTGGGGGTAGAGGTGCTGTGTGTGTAAGGGGAGGAGTAGTGTGTATGTGGGGGATGAATGCTGTGTGCAGTAGGGGTGCTGTGTGTGGGGAGTGCTGTGTGTGTGTGTGGGGGGGGGGGAGGTGCTGCAGGTAGCAATTTTTATAATACTGACCTAAACATTTTTAAAAACCTTATCCCCCTCCCATCTTCTTTCCTTTGGTGAAGGAGGGGGGGGACACAGCCAACCCTAGTGATCCGGTGGTCTGGCTGTAGCTCTCCTGTCGTCCCGCTCTCCTGTCATCCAGCTGTGTGGAGCGTTGCCATGGAAAAGCGCAGCAACGCTCCACACAGCCTGCTTACAGGAGATCTGTTTTCCAGTAGGTGCCTGCCATTTTGGGTAGGCAGGTGTCCACTCTGCATTGCTTCCGACTGGCACCACCGCCCCCTTCCTCCAGCGACCTATGGCCGCATGCCCACAGAGAGGGCTCGGCGTGCTAGATTCGCCATCACTGGTATATGAGGAGCGTAGGGCACAAGAACACAAAGATCACAACATAAATGATCAGGCTGTAGGACAGAGAAGTCCCTCAGTAGACACCAGTATGATGGGGTCAAGTATGGAGCCAGAAACTAAAAGTTGTCCAGTCCCTAATCCTGCTTCATCCTGTTCCCACTGTGGGCAGTGCATAGCCCTGAATCAGAGAAAAATACTGAGGGTCTCCATGACTTGGAGTGGGCAGACTGGTACAGGCTGAGATG